ATCCCCTCCTCCTCAAAAAACTCCACTCTCTTGGCCTCAGAGACTCTGCTCTCTCCTGGTTCTCCTCCTACAAATCGCAGCGCTCCTTCAGTGTTACCTATAACGCTGCCTCCTCCTCTTCACTCCCTCTTCCTGTAGGGGTCCCTCAAGGTTCTGTCCTTGGACCCCTTCTCTTCTCCATCTACACCTCCTCCCTTGGTCATTTGATAAACTCCCGCGGTTTTAAGTACCATCTCTATGCTGATGACACACAAATCTATCTTTCTACTCCTCACCTCACCCCTTCAGTCTCCACTCGCATTACTAACCTACTAAGTGACATATGGGCATGGATGTCACTCCACTTCCTCAAACTCAATCTTTCCATAACTGAGCTCTTAGTATTCCCTCCAGGCCGTGCCCCCTCCCCTGACTTCTCCATCAAGATCAATAACACAATCATCAGTCCCTCCCCTCATGCCAGGGTACTAGGTGTACTTCTAGACTCCCATCTGTCCTTTCAGCCCCAAATCCAATCACTGTCCAAATCTTGTAGACTTCACCTCCGCAACATCTCCAAGATACACCCGTTTCTAACCTCGGAAACCACTAAGCAACTTATTCACTCCCTTGACTATTGTAATTCCCTCCTCATTGGCCTACCTCATCGCAGGCTATCCCCTCTTCAGTCTATCATGAATGCTGCTGCCAGACTCATCCACCTTACTAACCGTATCTGTATCTGCCATCCCTCTCTGCCAATCCCTACACTGGCTTCCCATTGCCCAACGGATAAAATTCAAAACACTAACAATAACGTATAAAGCCATTTATAACTCTGCCCCAAATTACATGAACGATCATGTCTCTAAATATCACCCAAACCGCACTCTCCGCTCCTCGCAAGACCTGCTGCTTTCTAGCTCCCTTGTCTCCTCCTCCTATGCTCATCTCCAGGACTTCTCCAGAGCTTCCCCCATCCTCTGAAACTCTCTACCCCAATTTATCAGACTATCGTCTACTCTGCTCACTTTTAGGCAATCTCTGAAAACCTATCTCTTCAGGGAAGCCTATCCTGCTCTCAGCTAATACTGGAATCTTCTACTCTTCCAACCAGTCCATCCCCCACAGTTACTACCTTTTGTACCACTAGCCCCTCCCTCCTAGATTGTAAGCTCCAAGGAGCAGGGCCCTCAAATCCCTTTTGTAACGAACTGTATTGTTACTGTCTCCTGTTATATTGTAAAGCGCTGAGCAAACAGTTGGCACTATATAAATCCTGTATAATAATAATAATTGTTTTATTATAGATGATACAGAGAGGGAGTGGAAGCACCCCAGAATGTCAGGAACACCCAAAATGACAACACAGAGTCAGAAACTATGGGAGGGAATTTTTCTTTTGGAAGTCTCCAAGAGAAGTGATGTAAGAAGTCTTTGGAAAATTCAGCCCACCGATCTCCAAACAGAAAAATTACATTTGGGTGGAATGACCCTTTAACTTGCCATGCTACCTGGCTACTAGAGAGTGCATCCTGGAAACTTTACATACAAGATCCAAAGCTATACTTTAAAAGCAGACCCTAAGTGATTGAAAATCTAACAGAGAAAATATTGATACAGTCTGTTAGGATACGTCATGGACATACAAGATGAGCAATTATAACTTAAAAATATCTGCAAAAAGAACTTTCTGTGAGGCCAGTCAGTTTGTTACATCATATTTCCATGCAGACCACATGGCAAATGAGAAGGACCGCTTTCTATTGGTAATAAAGGTAATTCGACAGACACTTTTTTAAAAATCACGCAATCTACAGTTATTTTGGATTTGTCATTACTGACGTTTTCCTAGGAAAGTGAACTATGGTACCCTAATATCATTTTGACACCGCAGATCTTGGCCTCTGTTGGAAATAAGCAATAACTCACACACCTTAAAGTCAAACTTTGGACAAAAAAAAAATACATATAAATACTCTCACAGCAGATTTGTTTTTCTAAATCTTCCTTGTAACAAGTTTTATTGCCTGATTCATTACATTTATACTTGCAGTATAGTTGACAGTGGTGTTTGTTCTGCATTCAGCATTGTTACCCTGCAGAACAGGTAGTCCTAGATGCACTTAAGTGACAAACAAATTAAAGCCCAACTCAAACAAATACATTTTAAGCAGTTTAAGCAAGGTTTTTTTTTTTTAGAAAAAGGTTTAAACCATATGAGTAAAAGAAAGCCACTCTGGCAGTGTTAAAAGTTTTTTTATACAACCTCTTTTTCTGGACAGCTTCACTTGTTCAAGGATGTGAACACATATTGGATCTACTGGCAGGATCAACAGGTAATAAAACTGTGGGAGAGATGCACTAAAATTGTAGTGTGCAAAAAAAAAAAAAAGCTTCCGGGTTTTTATTGTCAAAGCTTTTGAATTGAACAAGCTGAAGTTAGAAGCTGATTGACTACCATGGAGAGCTGCACCAGGTTTTGCACTCTTCAGTTTTAGTAAATCAACCTCTACGGGTTATGGAGGAAGGCTCACAAAAACAAAACCTGCAGTATTAAGGCTATCGATGAACTGCATCATATATGTATTTTTTTATTTTGCCCATTGTTCTACTGTAAAGATGGTTGCTGATCCAGAGGCCCTAAGGGCACTTCTCACAGGTTCCAAAGGAGTATATACATAGCAATTTAAACACTTTTTAAATAATAAATCATATACAGTATAATAAAGTATTTAATCATTTAAAACAACTCATTGTCTGGATATTCATACAACATCAGGCTTATTCAGCAAGGCAAAGTCCAGTAAGTCACAGCAACCAGTCAGAAACCGTCTTTTACCAATGTGACTGAACTGATTTCTGCTTAGTTGCTAGGGGTAAACAGATTTTTCAAACCATTACAGTACTTTGCACATTCTTGATTCTGGTTGATTATTGAATTATTACCCAGTATCTGTAAACCGCATACATTTATTGGTAATAACTCAGAGTGATTCAAGTTATTGATGTTAACTTGAAATGAAGTGACATACATAAAGGGGTACTTTGATGAGGTTACATAAACCAAAGCAAGAAACACTGCATTGAAGAAAATCCGGTTTAACTAAGAATTTGAATATTGAGTCCAAACCTTAATTGTACACACTTTTACTTATGAAAATGTTATATGTGCCCCATTCTTAGCTGTGCCGATTTCTGTCTGACATTTCAGCTTGTTATGGAGAGTCTCTTCAAATCTGACAGTTTCTGCTGATCTTAGACACCACACTCTCACGAGCTGGGTAAATCTACTGTATGTCACATCAGGAGATCTCTGATCTTCTTATACAAGGAAAGCGTTAGACTCAGACAGTTAAAGCTGAAGTTCAGTTGAAAAAAAATATTTTTAGTTCTGCAGTTTTATTGATCTAACTTGCCTTTGATGATGTGTCTCCCATGTTATGCAGGCAGCTGGATCCTGAAGGGTGGAGGGTATCAAGAAATATTACTATTGAATTCAGTCCGGAGACCCAAAGCTATTAACCCTCTGCATGCGGGAAGTTCAGAGACAGGAAAGGGACAGGGCATCCCTGCAGAGAGAATTTCTCCAGCAGCCTGTACGATGTGGGTCACAATTCATTACAGGTAAGGTAGGTCAGCAAAGCTGTAGGGCTAAATATTTTTAGCTATATTTCAGCTTTAATGTTTAGCTAATATAGGGGACCAATAACAAATGTTAGGTTTGTGCAATCAGTTTTAAAGTGGTATGCTTTTTAAATGCCCCACTCCCTTCCTCCATGGTAAAACACTTAAGCTGGCCATAGACAGAGCTATTTTCTGTCCTGCAACCAGAAATCGCTCGACTCCCCCATCAACACTGACTCCGTTCCTGCTGGGAGAACACAGTATTTACTGCTAGCAGCTATAATAGCCGAAAGCAATATTCACATGTAAAATCTGACAGGCTGGTTGCATCCAAGTTGATCAATCAATCAACTAGGGTACATTCGGCCTGCCCATACATAGTTCGAATCTCGGCCGGTCCCTGCTGAATTGGCCTACATTCGATTTGAATTGGTCTTTACTAAAACTGTAAAAATGACACCTGTAGGGAAAATAAGTTAGATATTATACCCCCCTTATATCTGGCTTATTTGGTGCAGTGAATATTATCATGCTGTCAGCAAGATCCGAGGAAGTGAGAAAACTTCTTGTGAGAAAACCCTGAAGTACCCTGTTTGGAGCATCTTCTTCTCAGTGGCATTTGGCCTACTCAACATTCGTGAAATGTCACTGGTAGAAGGATGATGTTACCTTTTGTCTAGGTACCGCAGACAGAAGCTGGAGGAAAAGTGAGTATATTTTCTTACATTTTTCCCATCAGGTGTTTTTTTTTTTACTTTTATTCAGTGTTTTACCATGAGGGGCACATTCGAAAAGCAGACCTAGCATTTTAGGCGCTACTTGAAAACTGAAAATCCAGATTATTGCCTAAGCCCAATCATAGTTGGCTCTATATAAGGTATGGTTTATGTTTATTGGTTCATGGGAGGTATAGGTAAACTTTTAAACATTTCTACATTTATTTCAGTTGTACTCAGACAAATACTGGCAATGACAGGAATTAAAAACATCATTATTACATCATGATAGCTGTAGTCACATTCCAAAGTGTCACCTATCAAATGAAAGTGAACCTGAGGCCCTGTGTGTTTGAACAGGGCACGTACCGGTGAAGTACTGCCATTGTTGTTGTATGCTGTCAAGTGTTGGAAATGGAAGGGAAATAGGTTGTCTGTAAAACTTTAACTGAGAGATCGGTGCCTTTTGCCAGCACCAAAAAGGATGAAGTTATCTTTTCTGGTTTGTCAAATAATATCACAGCTGCACAGAGCGCACACAGGAAAAAAAAACTTCCAGTGCATGCACAATGTCCATTGCAATAAGGAACACTTTGTGCATCTCCTTCCTGTTGTGTACAGTATTTGGCATATATAACAAGATGGAGCGCAGATTTGCAGGAGGAGCATTAGGCTAAGCTAAGAGTCTACTTTAGGAATAATACAAACTTTATTATTTCTGCTTAATTTACGCTCAGTTTTACATTTGGGCTGCTTTGTTTGGATAAGTTCTTCAGGGGTATTTCCAAGAGGAGGTAAAAGCCGCTTTTTGCTGTTCCGTTTATCAGACATCCATTGTGGAGGCAATTCAAAGGGTCCAAACCCAAACTGCACGGAATACTTTTCATTAAGGATTTCTGCTTCTCCAGGCATTACAGGGGCCACTTGTGCTGCTGATTCAGCACCCTGTGGGATTAGCTTTTGTACCAGAGTATGTTCCACCTCAGTGCTGCTACTGGGCATACTTTCCTTTAGTTTGTAGCTTCTGGAAGCCTCTGATTTGATCTCATTATCATCATCTTCTTCCACAGACCTGAATATCTGTTGCTGTCCAATATGAAACATCTCTAGAAGCTGGCTCCCTGACCGTACACTGGGCTCCAAATTCACCTCCGCTACCGATCCCAGGTTCACCACATTCCTCCTGCTGTATCGCCGATGAAGTTGAACTATGGTGCCCACCACACACTTACGCACAGATTTGTTGACAGTCAAGAAGAGTAAGGGGTTTGTGACAAGAGATACCTTAGGCAACCAGATGGCAGTAAGTATGAGAATGTCTGAGATATGAGAAACATTGAGCACAGTGCGATAAACAATCAGTGTCACATATGGAACGCTGCAAAGGATGAAAACCAGGACCATGGACAGCAGCATTGAATGCAGTTCAGCCTCCTTTTGGGAAACATAGGGAATAGATATTGAGTTCTGTGGGGTCCTTAGGGCTGCTATGATCACCTTCTTCTTCTGGCTGGCACTTAGTGCTCTGCGAATGAGTAGCATAAATAGGAAAACCACAGCAACTGGTACTAGAACAGTGGTAACGTTGTACACCAGGACATATACCAAGTGACCCAAAGAGTAGCCCCATGATTGGGAGCAGGTAGACATGGCATAGATGTCAGTCACGTTAGTCACAGCGAAAACAGGGACACTGGCTACAACTGCATGTGTCCAAATGTAGATCAACAAGTCTCTAGCCTTGGCATCTGATATCTTCCTCTCTAGAGGGTACAATACAGAGTAATACCTGTGGTAACAAAAACATTGCATATATTAAAAAAAAAGCACAGTCTTCTAGCAATACTATAACATGCAGTAATAGAGATAATACTTGCATTAAAAACCTAGATAAAATGATATAATATCTTGTATTCAATTACATACTAATTATTATACTGAACTATCTTTGTCCTTATCATACATATGTGCAAGTACTGATTACTGGTTTTATCTTTATATCTCTGACCTAAAACTGTTTTTGGAAAGAGTGCAAAGGGCATTAAATATATGATCAAGTTTACTCACTGCAGTAATGTTTTGAAAATTATTTCAATGAGGGTGCAAAACTAATGAGAGCTTTCAGAGATTTTGTTTGGTTAACACCAATAATTATTACTATTTATGTTCACTAAATGAAAAAATAAGTTCTGAGAGGCACACCTGCAAGGGCAGAGGTAGCTGGACAAGTGATCTGCAGCTGGGTAAGCGGTCCTCTGCTGTCAGAACCAGAGTGAAAGCAGCCAGACTCAAGCACAGGGCCATTGATAGGGCAGTACTGCAAGTCCTCTGGTACCCAGCCCAGGCCCCGCCTGCTCAACAGGGGGGTCCAGACAGTTTTATTGTTTATTTATGGATAAATGAATTAAATGAACCACCATGATGCCACCTCTCCTACTAGGCTCCCCAGGACTTAAAATTAATTTCTCTGGACTCCAGCAGTTCAACAGAAAGTCCCAGGAGGCTGGAACAGAGGAGGGACTTTTTTTATTTTCATCACACAGGCAGATGAGGCCAGCTTCGGAAGTCCCCAGTGCTCAAGTTACAGCTGGTTGCCCACAACCTTTCCTTTGTGGAGTGATTCTAACTGCTGTGCTTCCTCAATGAGGGCTGAGGTGGGTAAGGCTGTAGCCAGTGGTGAATGAGAGGTGGCTGAGGGCACAGCTCAAGGATCCCATTGGCATATGTACAGGCTGTCATGAGCTTGTCTATCTACTCTATGGAAGGTACAGTCCTCAGTAAACAGTAGAGCCAGTCCAGAACAAATACCAGCACCAAACAGCTCTGTGACATCATGATAATGAGGATGATCATAAGCACAGTGATAATTACAAAAAAACCTCCTGCGCTCACAAGGACTCCTACCCTATAACCATAAGCTGCTGACACTAAGCTTATACCCAAAATAAGTGAATAAACAGTGCAAAAATTATGAGTGCAGCGCTAATTAGTATCTAATAGAACCGTAATACAATATATACTCAATCCCCCCAAAAAATCCAAGATACTCAATGCATATACAGTGTCATGCATGTATTCCCTCATGGGGAATATCTCGTGCAAAAACATGAAAATAAAGTAAGTAATATATACTATAATAACATATATACTAATAATAAACAGTGCCACACAAAAAGTGCACAAAGGAATGAACGATAGTTCAAATACAAGAAAAGTCCAAAGTAAATAATAATAATACTGATGATGCTGTGCTTAATGATGAACTTCACACTCCACTCTTCATGCAAAATTATGTGCAGTGTACGTGGGTGTACACCCATAGCATGTGGTAGGAGGCTGGAAGATTCATCGTTTTGTGAGTGGAAATCTACTTTTTATACCTATTACCAATAAAATTACTGGTTGCACTATGGAGGGTCTCTGCTTGTGTCTTACTATGACCCTGGGAGGAGCTGGCTGCTAAACTGGTGGACGCTGGAGGAGGAAGATATTTTCTAGAAAGTGATCCATACTGATAGGATCGTGTGATCCTGAAAGCGTGCTGGCCCCTTGGGGTCTAAGGAAGGAGGTGAGGGGGCATTTTGGCTGTTAAGGATTGTCACGTGTGAATCACGTACACTGCACATAATTTTGCATGAAGAGTGGAGTGTGAAGTTCATCATTAAGCACAGCATCATCAGTATTATTATTATTTACTTTGGACTTTTCTTGTATTTGAACTATCGTTCATTCCTTTGTGCACTTTTTGTGTGGCACTGTTTATTATTAGTATATATGTTATTATAGTATATATTACTTTATTTTCACGTTTTTGCACGAGATATTCCCCATGAGGGAATACATGCATGACACTGTATATGTATTGAGTATCTTGGATTTTTTTGGGGGATTGAGTATATATTGTATTACGGTTCTATTAGATACTAATTAGCGCTGCACTCATAATTTTTGCATAAGCACAGTGAAGTGCTATTTTACACTTGCGTTCAGGCAGCATTAAAAAGGCAAGTCTGAGCCACATTTTAAAAGCACCTCCAAATATTTAACACTTATCTATTCTAGGGAGTGTAATGTAGAGGAATACTGTTTTTTCATCCTTGACCCCCCCGCCCCCCATCCCTGGCAGCTGAGGGTTTCCTTATTATTTAAACTCTTGAAATGTGAGCTGGCCCTCTATATCATATTATACAATTCAGGACCAGGTGTGGCCACTGGTCCTGCATTATTTGGAATGATGTCAGTGAATGGGAGTGATTTATTGAGACTGGTCTTCATGCCAGAACCAGCATAGAAAGACTGTGAAACAAAGGAAAGGCTAAGTAATTCTTTTGTTACATGCTCCCTAAATTCAGCAAGCATTGGACCCTTAATGGGTACCCACATGGATATTTTATAGTTGACAAGAATTCATCTTAGCCATAAAGACTAGAGGAAGCTTGATGTTTGACTCCCTTACAACAGTGAAGCGGGCACAAAAAAACTGGAGCAATGAAAATTAGCATGAAATTGTAGTTGCGACCTAAAAGGTTTCACCTCTTACTTCATTGAAATGTTAAAGTACATGTAAATTCAGTCATTAAAATCTTTTATATTAACAAGGTAATGGGATTTCAAAAATAGTTTTTAATCTTTTCTAATCTCCAGCTTTCATTATTATCATACCTGGAAATCCTGTGATAAATGTGACTTCCTGATAAGGCACTTCCTGTTGTAGGGTGACAGCACACTATCACTGTCTCCCAGTTGCTCTTCCCATGTTGTCACTCCATTGCATATGCTTCTAGTAAAGACTGAAGGTGAACATGTGGATGCTCCATGCACAAGCAAGTTCTGCACTTGTAACCGTTAGGAAGGCCATCCTAAACAATGGCATATACTGTAACTGCTGCTACAGCAAATGCAAGTAGACAGAAAGTGGCTACAGTGAGGCTTCAGACGCAAAAGAGGATGCTAAAAGGTCAAAACAGAATGTAAGGGGTCTTAAAGAGGTTTGCTCCTCTTTTCTGGAATTTTACAGCAACATTCTCTGATTGGCGAAAAATTATCCTCCACTAAAGAGACAGTGCATAGGACAGTGGGAGTAGGGGTTCATGTGTTGCTGCAGAGAAAGAAGCAGGATCTTGTCTGTGGGGAAAAAAGAGGATTCAAGCCCACCATTTGAGAGAGCAATGGTGTTCCTCTGACCTAGGGGAGCATGGCTCCATAGGTTGTGTTACCCTATGAACAGCCTTTCCCAGCCAGGGTTCCATGGAACTTTAGGGTTCCTCCAGACGTCACCAGGGGTTTCTTTGTAGCCAATTGACTTTACATGTGGTGGTTCTAGGTCCAAAGCCATTTGACAGAGCCAGTAATATCCCCAATAATCTTTAATTTGTCTGTAAAAGGTGGCATTCTGACTACCACTGTAAGAGTGGCATTCTTGCCATTGGCCTCAAATTAAATAATTGAGCAGGGGATCCCCAAGACCTCAAAATTATTTTGAGGGTTCATCTGGATTTAAAAGGTTGAGAAAGGCTGGCTAAGATTTTTCAGACAGGGAGAGGGGGAAAGAGGCTATAACCAGCTCCAGGATGAGACCAAGTACTGCTGAACAAAAGAGGGTTCCCCTGACTGCCATACTATGATACTGACTATGAGCACTACTAAATTGTTGATGCACATCCAAGTTACAGTTAAAATCATTGTCCACCTTTTGCACTGAAGCTCACAGAGCATTGCAACAGTGATTGATCAGTTCCTAGGACAGAGACTGAGAAAAATCCCTCTAATAGAGCCCCAGAGATATAACAAGTATATAGCAAGTATAACCCAACAATTCCCCACTCTATCCAAAACTTAAAATAAAGTTTGGGCTAGAAATATAATCTAGGCCCATGACGGGTATCGGACAAATGGCTGACATCAGTAGTAGTTGAGGTGTTTTTTGTCAAAGGCAATTATCATACCTTTTGAATTTTCAAATTGTATTTGTTTAATGGAACAAATCATGAAAAGAAATAATAAAGAAGTTCAGAAAAATTTCCTCCCTGAAGCATGTTGCTTGGAGAAATAGAACATTCATGTTCTTGGATTTTGCCAGTTTTGTTATGCCGGCTTTCATGTGGGGAGAGCTAAACCTCTTACATTGAGAGACGTAAGGCATGAAGAGGCCATATTTCATCTGTGATTAAAGAGCATAGAATCCATTCTGAAAGTTTGAAGATAATTCCTGACATATAATGTTGATTTACTCTAAGAAATAATTCACTTGGCTACGTAAATGAAAAGGTGATGCTGTGGTCACTGCAAACAAGCACAGCTTCAAGTTAAAAAGATTCTGTTTTTTTTTTTCAATTTCCTTGCATATGATTTGGGGTAATTAAAGTGAACACAGCTTTAGCTTTCTACTCAGCTTAGTACATGTGAACACAGCTTTAGCTTTTTTCTCAGCTAAGTAAATATTTATATTGTTAGTAGTAGGTATTCCTTTACTGAATTCTCCTAATATTTCTGCTTCTATTCCAAATCTATGATGTTAAATGGTGATGTGGTTAAAAACCAACTCCAGCTTTTGAAACAACCCACCCCTGCCCTCACCTCCCCCTTCACTGACTCCCTCTACACGTTTAAAAAAAATAACTATTCAAACCTTAAAGCAGAACTGCATTGCATCTAAGCACCACAAACCAAAAATGCTATTTAATTAATTTTTATTATTCAAAACAAACCCCCATCCATCCTTGTCTCTAGTCTCATCTTGAGTAAGGGCAAATGATTAATGTGTCATTTACTTCCTGGAATCCATCTGCCCTTATCTCAGGCATAGGCTGAGCTGAGAACCCTCCCTTTTCTCCTGAAAACTCCTGGGATGTATGACATCATTTGCCTTGGCATGGGAACCAGGAAGTAACTGAAGAAATGTAAGAAAAAAGTTTAAAACAAGTAAATATCATATACCTTTCTATCTATTTACTAATGCTAGCAACATAAGGATTACAAATAGCCCATGATGATTGAGAGAGTGAAGTTACACTTTAAAGCTGAATTCCAGGTATGATTTTTTTTACCATAGTTACATTGGTCAAGTTTGTATCAGGGCAAGTGTGCATGTTTCATTCCTGGCCGCCACTACTACAGTGATCCTCGCTGTATTCTGGGTCCCATTCTGATCAAAAATGTAGGGTGGCAGGGATGTTAAAAGGTAAAAACACACACATGATTATAAAAAAGAATGACTTTATTAAACATGTATTAAGCTAAAAACACATTGAAAACACAGGCTCATAATTAAGATGTGAACAATAACCAAAAGCTCAAAGTTGAACATATGATATAATACAGAGCCCCTTATTTTAGCATAGGCTGGAGAATTGATTATAGTCCAGATAGTGTAGTTCCAAGGTCCACATGTAAGGATAAAGTCTCCCATATGATTGGCAATACCTCCCTTGGATATCTATTGGAGTCACCTGGCCCTACCTGTCAGCCCTTGCTCACTGTTGGCTTGATTGATCACATGCATATCACATAATATGTGATTTTAAGAACTTCTCACAGGCTTTATCCTTACATGTGATCCTTGACCATACTCCTGAGTGTTGTTCCTGGGACTATCCCTGAAGAAGAGCTTCAGTCTCAAAACGCATTGGTCATTGGAACTACACTATCTGGACTATACTCAGTCCCCAGCCTAAATTATATTAAGTGGTTCTGTATGACATCATATGGTCAACTGGCTCTATTTGAGCTTTTGGTTATTGTTCACCTCTTAATTATGAACCTATGTTTTTAGCTTAATACATGTTTAGTAATTTAGTTCTTTTTTATAATCGTGTGTGTTTTTGCCCTTTAACATTCATGCCACCCTAAATCTTTGGATCTTTATTTCCTCTGGGATGGGCATTGAACGATCTCCAGTCACATTATTTCACATTTGGATCCCATACTGAGCGGCTGCCATGCTCTGCTGCATAGTGAACGCTTAGGTGCCATTCATCAAATGACTTGCATTTTCTCTCAATGAATACAAAGTGTTCTCTGATTAGACAAGGTGGAAATTGTGATGTCGTCCAATCAGGGAAAGCTTTGCATTCATTGAGGGAAATGAAAGGTATTCCCTGATTGGCACCCATCCCCTTGTGTTCACTGTGCAGCAGGGCAGCCGCTCGACACAGGACCCAGAAGAAAGAGAGAATCACTGTCCTAAAAACAATTACTGAAGTGAATCTCTGCTTCCATGAGGATCAGCCAGGTTAAGGGCATGCATACTTGCTCTGGTCCAAGGTGGACCAATGTAACTATGCAAAAAAACAAATATCCAGGAACTCAGCTTAAAATCCAGGTTGTCTCCAGCCAGCCACGTTAGATCAAAGGTCTCTGTTCTTGTACTGTGCCTATTGTGGGGGCACAGAATGGTGTTCATGTAAGCCTAATGGAGAGCCATTCTGCGCAGCTGTACTGTGAGCCCAGTATGCCTACAAGGACCTGGGCTCACAAGAAGGGGGTTAGATGATGTTGGACTTCTTTCAACCTGTAACAGGAAAGGAGTTTGACTACAGAATGGGAGTCTGTGGGGGAGTCTGTGTCAGTCCTATGCATCAGAGTGAAGGTAAGTATTGCATTGAGAGCTGCATTTTTTTTTTTGCTATGCTGGGCAGCTTATTTAAATAAAATTATGGAGCTGGGTTAAAAAAATGGTCATAAACTGTTTATGTTAAAACAAATATGAAATACGCTGTCTTTACCTGTCCAAGGCGATGGCAGCAAAACTAAGGATGGTCACGGAGCAGAAGACTTTGTGCAGGAATTTGATAGTCTTGCAGAAAAGCAGGGTGTAAATCCACCAACAGCATTGAGGGTTGGCACTGAGCACAATATCAAAAGGCACACACACCAAACTGGCACAGATGCCAGAGCAAGCAAGGTTCTTCATAAACCTATTTGTTACAGATTTGAGTACGGTGGTCCTACAGGTTGACCAAAGGACAATAAAGTTCCCTGAAAACAGAAAAAAAAAAAGATTACTATGATGAAATAAAAATATGTTGCATATGTGAGAAAACAAGGACCAACTCTGCTCCAAACAGAAATATCAGATTTGGATATGCATTGGTTGCGTAATTCACCTACTTGTTTCTCTCCCTCTGATGGCTGGATGCCATGGTTATTTGTTTACTCTACATCTTGTAGAATACAGAGGTGAGCAGGACACCATTTTTTTGGTTTAGTACTGCTTGTGGCGCTCTGGATCCTTGAGAGAGATAAGCTAAAATTTGACCTAGCTTGCCAGCAGCCATGAGATCTGAGTTTTGGGTAGATTTAGTTCATGTGGACTGGCAAAAAGAGGTATTGCTAAAATCAATGTTTTGCACATTAAAGCCTAAGTGTAGTCAAAACATTAAAAAAATGGGCATAAGGGAGAGTACTTACAGGCAATGCAAAGTGTCCCTTGTGCTACTGGCTGCATCTTTAGTTGAAATGTGAAGTCCTCTGATCTCCCCCAGACACCTGTAGCCATAATATGAGCGCTAGGCCTGTCACAGGCACTTGTCAGAGTGCTGACTATGCCTGCTCTTTCTGCTTCTTCTCCTCCATTCGTATAAGCTGTACCATAGCTTCTATAAATGAAAATCACTCTATAAATATAGGATGGGTGAATGAAATACAGGTCCACCTCTACCATTCATAAATTGCTTTTCAATAATGAAAGCTATAGTACAGTAGTAGGTTTATACAAGTGCCAGTGACAGGTCCCTTGGCTTGTATTAACCACCGCAAAAGTGAACAATTACAGCTGTGGGGGTGGAGGTCAGAAGACTTCAGATTTTAGCTAAGACCTGCAGCCAGTAAACTTCAATTAGTGTGTATATGCAATTAAAGTTGGCAGCACATGTTAAATCTGATTGTACAATCTTCTTTTAGCTAGCTAAACAATTTACAGTTTGATTATACAATATCTGAACACTGCCTCCTTTATATTTACGAAAACTCTGTAGTGAAGGACCTACCTAAACAGTCCATCCAGCTTGTATCCAATTAGGCAGGTGCTTGTACCACATAATTGAAGACAGTACAACAACCACATCTGAGAGTGCCTGCTTGGTTAGATATAAATGAAATGTATTCCTTAGGTTGCCATCATACTATATAGTTGTTGGCAAAAAGGTAATCACATATGGTTTCAGTGTTCAGTGCACCAATATAGTTTGGGTACGGTTGTGATGTGCTGTCTGCTCCATATTGATATCTTGGAACATATTCAAGACAGTCGTATTTGATAGATATGGTTATTGAGTGTGTCATAGAATTGAGCTTAATATAACGTGAAGAGAACAAGCAATAAAACAAAATAAAAAAAGAGTGTGGAGGACTTAACCTAACTTTAAAAATCTGGGTTATATACATGTGTATTCGGGTTAAAATGAGCTAGATAGGTTCTGCCCAGGATGGAAGGGCTTCTTGGGTTCAACCCACTTCTACTGTGGATATTAAAAGGGACAGTGGGCCAAGTCCAAGAGCCTTCTCTTGCCTTCTTCTCAGTTCCCCCCAGGAGGAATTCAAAAGACCTAGGGCTGCTTCATCAGTAGTGTTCTGTGAGGGATCCAGCCAGTGAGAAGACCAGAGGATGTGAGAGCCATCCAACTGGGGGTTCACCCCGAAGATTCCAGCCACTGGAGGATTCCACTATTGGACCATGCTTTACATGGACTCTACCTGTACAGGTACGCAAGGGCAACACGTAGGCATGTTGACTGTTTTATTGAAGATCTGCTGGACTACCTTATCTGCTTTGGACTCTTTTGTAATGTTGCACTTTAGGTTAAGTAAAGAATTAAGCTTTGCCTTCTGCCTGGTCTGAAGTTCTTGAAAGTAGTGCACTGCAAATCACACACTTAGTCTACAGCTTGGGTCACTGTCACATGGGGTATGAAGAGTCAGCACATTAAAAGTCACCTTAATGCAAGTTATTCACGTGGTTGCCATGAGCAAGGTACAGTCAGCAAGCAGCCTGTTGTAAACGTGTACCTGTTATAGGTGGAATTGCTTTTAGCTGTGAGGGAGATGTTGTCGGCACTCCCTACACCGCATTTCAGATCCCGTAGCGACCAGAATGAAACTGAACTGCAGAGGTATGGAAGTTCAAGAGTTGGAGTCAAGTGCACATTTGGAGCCCACTCTATGTGCATGGTGGGGCTCCATGCTGCTACTGGGACCGGTAATAGGAAACACTGGACAGGTGGCTGTAGTCAGTGTTTGGCACAGCCCGCTAAATACAAGCTACAGTGGGAAGATGTACATATACACGGGGACCTGAGAGTAACTAGAGAATGGTTGTTATGCAAGTGTACATGGTATATGTTCATCTCTAAGAGTAGAGGCCTGCCTTGGGGTTGAGTATTCCCTATCAGCAACCTCAGTCTTGTCCCAAGATATTGATTAAATGGTACTAAAGCAAAGGTACCACATGTGTAGGAGAGTGACCCTGTCTCAGATGCCTAGCATAGCCCGGAAGAACCCACATTGAGGGTAGTTCTCTTATGTGACCCAGATTTGGCGCCCAATGAGTTAATTGAGAAACTTGACCTGACCCCCCTCTACACATATACAAGTGTAATCACTATGCTGCCTATTTTCCTTACTGTTCTGGCACTGTTGAACTGATAGTTATCTAATCAGATTTCAATAGTATTTGCAGGCTAAGGAGTTTATTTACGAAAGGCAAATAGGCTGTGCACTTTTCAATGGAAGTAGCACAATTCAAGGAATTTTTTCCTAGAGCTTAGTGAATTTAGTGAGATTTAACTTTGCAAAGAATACCCATTCATGTGCCAGATAACAGAAACAGCATTTTTGATTGCACATGATTGGATGGTGGAAGTCAATAGAGCTTTGCCTCATTTTCAAAGGTCTGTGGAAAATTCCCTTGCATTGTGCTACTTTCCTTGAAAAGTAAACAGCCTATTTGCCTTTAGCAAATCACGCACTAAGTGTACATTGTTGTGGTTAAGAACCCAGACTGTTCAGTGGGTGCTTTAGAATACTTTTTGTGCAGTCTCCTTTTCTGAACACCCAAATGAGTCCAGCTTGAAAGATAATTAAATATACACTCAAATGAAACAAAGGTTTCGATTATAAACTAACTCAAGGGACATACCCTGCCAGACAAAGGCTCCAATTTACATTATAGCATTCATATTCTGAACCTGTACACCTCTGTAGCTAAATCCCTATAGTAAGTATGAACATCTGTGGATTGAGCCTAGATCTGAACCTGTGAAAAGTGTGTGAGTTCTTATTTTTCCTGGATCCAGTATCTTGTTTCTGTGTCCAAGTCCATTGAAGCTTCACTGACACATCTTGAAGTATGTAAAACAAGTTGCACAGATTCATGTGAGAAGAATTCATTTAAGAGCTTGGAGTCTCTTCAAGTCCAAAGAACAAAAAAGTATTTTCGATTAAATGTAAGTTAGACTGGAACTGTAGTTCCTTTTGCCAAAATGTGCATGGATGCCCATAGAGGGCTGTTAGCCCTTCCTCCAGTATTAGTTAATCTGAGCTGTCCCATGATGTACCTTGATGCTCTGTCTGCAGCCACCATCTTCTCCCAGTCTTCTTCCAGGTTCCCAATGCTCCCCTCAGTGATTGGGTGGCCTTTGTGATATAACTCCTGCACATGTGTACAAGAGCTACATTTTCTGAGCACCTGGAAGGGTTCTTTGCATCTTACAGATGGTGGGCGCAGTGGGAGTACACTGCAATGCACATGCACTTGTACATGATTAAAGAGTTTATTGTTTAAATCAGAGCAGACTTGGTGGGTTTGTTGTACAGAACAACCCTTTCACTGGTCTCCTAGCATTTTTTTCACAAAAGTTTTGTTTAAAATAAACTTTCTCACTTTAGCACAGCTGCAATATTTTTGGGTAGCCATTTGCAGATTGCAATTTTTGTCTGGATTAGCTGTTTAACAGCGTTGCAGATGCAGAGCAGTCACCGGCATATAGACAGCAGAAGACCCACTCAGAACCGATACTGTCATAGCAATGTACTCACTTAAAAATGTAATTTTCATTATCTAATCTAGGCAGCAGCACATCTTTTTTTGAAAGCAACATTTCTTATTTGATATCACTGAAGGGTACAGGATCTACTTTCTGATGGTACATTAGCTGTTTGCAATGTTATGTGGACATTTTTTCCCTTTTGAATTAAAATACATGTAAAATGCAGTAGACTGGCACATACTTTTTAAAGCTTTTGAAAGCAAACCTGTACTCTTGTAGTATGAGGGCAAGACCTGGTTCTCCTCGCAGATTCTTGCTACCAGCTTGGTGGCCATCAGAGTCTATCTGGTGGTGGGTGGCCCAAGGAGTAGCAGAACCACTTTGCTCACTTAACCCACTGCTTCACTTGTAGTACTTACTTTTAATAGCCATATACTCAGATAACAGATCATGGGTTATATCACTACCTTCCCTCAGAACAATCTGCACAGTCCATAGGATGTTTCGTGTGATTTACCTATACATTCACAGAGACTTAGTGGTGCCTATGGCATCCAAAGTGAAAACCCTCGCTCCTCCTTCTGACCAAGCCAGGGAAGTAATTCTCAACACTCTAACTTTCCCACAGAGGGTCAGGGGACAGACACCAGCTACTCCATCCCTTGCTAGTAGCAGACCCCACAAGGGTGCACACCCTTAATGCTGAATAGTTCACTTACTCTTCATCCCAGCTTCATGTCCCAGCTCCACACACAAATACAAAATGTCCCTGTCAGATACTGCTTTTTGCTTTTAACCTACTTGCATAAAGAATTATGTACAAAGTCAAAATAATTGGCAATAATTGGCAAAAAATCACTCAGCAACATTCACTGACGTGTTTGAAGGTTTGGGAGCAGGGGGCAAAAACAGGGTCCTTAAACATCACCCCTCATCAAAAGGGAATAAGTAAGGGGTAATAATAACAAAAAAAAGTCCCACAATGTAAGTTCATCATCAATCATATCATCCAGCAATGTACAGT